ATCTATCTATCTATCTATCTATCTATCTATCTAGAATTATTATTTTTTTTATTTAAAAGCTTATTGACCTTGGCACACAGAGGGTCTTCATGGTTCCTCTCTAAAAGGATATCATTCTCCTTTTTTTTTTCCAAGTTTCAAAGATATAACAAAAGAACATTATGTTGAGCTACTTTTTCAAGACGGTTGTCCTGATATTTCTGACTTTATGCCCCCCAGATCTTTAATAATAGATATCTTATTAACACTTCCCATGATTCTTTATTTTTAGCTTCATCTGTTCACAGGTGTGGTCACAATTTTGGATGAACTTCTCAAACTTTGTCTGTCTTTGTCTGTTGCTGTTGTTGAAAGAAAATAACCAAACTTTTGCGTCTCTCCTCTTTCTTCCTACCACGCTGAGTAACCACATAGACACACTTGTTCAAAACTCTGCCATCTGGAGCAACAAAATATATGAACAGCTATTTAAATCCCAAGATAACAATGCATAGAAACCATTAGATATAATTAGAAACAAACTAAGCCAGCTATGAACATATCATAAGAACACATAATCATTTAATCTCAAGAACGGTCCCTTGTGAATTTCATGCCATAAGCTAAATAAAGCTCACATTTCACATTTCTCAAATTCTGCACTGGGCTTTTCATTGAGTGTTTTAAGTGCTGACCTGCATACAGTTCAAGCTTTGTTGGTGCTAAACCTATCCGATCTGTGCTAAGGGGCAGAACTGATACGGGGTCAGTGACTTCTGCTCGACAACACAAAGTGAACTGGGGACTAATCTTATAACTGCCAGCATTAACTGTGAACTGCTATTACACCCCATCAACTCTCCCTGCCAACAGATAACCACGGGCCACAAAAATAATCCTCAAAATTTTTAATATTGAATTGGTTTTTAAAATTCACTGGCCATAACTAACAGCAATGGAATGCTGATTATGATTAATGTCCAATGACATAGAAAAGAGTGGGAGAGAGGGAGAGAGAAAGAAGCAGAGAAATGAACTGGCCTAAATAACATTTATTTATGCCACATTTTGAGAAAATATCTCTTTCCCGGCAGAAGTCATCATCAGCGTCCAGTGGAAGAGACCTGTGACCTGTTCACAGAGCCCTGCGCATGTGAGGAGTTTGTCAATTTCTACATTTGGTAGATAAAATACTGGAGTGTCATTACTTTTTAAACATCCATTAAAAAAACAAAAAATTATTCACAATATTTCTAACTAGCTTTATCATGTTATTTCATCATTTTTCTTTATTATTTATAACTGTTTTATTACTGAAAGCCATGCATGTCAAAGCTGTTTTTTTTTTTTTTTTGAATGGAACAATGGCACAATCACCTTTTCCTCTTGTGGAAACCTTGAACCTAAACTTTTTGAAAGAAAATCTATTAAACGGTTAAAACAAAGCATATATTTGATGTTTTACTAAATGTTTATCCAACACTTAGCACAGTTCTTTGAAAAAGAGCATGAAGTTTGAGATGTGAACTGATGACCCTTCTCTCAGCAGCATTGATTTAATCCAAGTGTTTCTGCACAGATGATTTCATTTTCATTCATTTTTACAAAACAGCTTCAAATTATTTATATA